AGCTGGACGTGGGGCTCAAACCCACCAACCATGAGATCATGACCTGAGCCAAAGTTGGACGCTTAACCGACTAAGCCACACAGGGTCCCCTAGTTTTCTTTTTAAGTAGGTAAATCTCAGGTTGGCTAACATATTCATTTTGATAACATTCTTATTCCATCTTATTTATAAAAATTTCCTTATATTAAGTACTGTGTAAGATAGTATTTTGTAACAGTTAAGAGCAGGATAACATTATTGACATAATTTCCAAGGAGAGATTTTGAAGACAATGACTGGGAAGAGTATGGCAGTTTGAAATCCACCTCTCTTACATTGCTTTGTCGAGGTGTCTTTTCTGTTAAAACGTTTTCTTAACTCAGTTATGAGAATTAACCAGTAAATGCCTGTTCTAAATCCTTAGCATAGGGACTGGCACATTTGTGCCTATGTGAGTTTATTGGACTATAGATAAATGATGCAAAATTTCAAGATTTGAATCAGTAAGAGGATTGATAATTCTTCTTTGACATGCATAACATAGTACTAGATTTCATTGGTGAGTTTCATCTCATCCAAAATATAAATAAAGCCTTTATCATTCTTTGAGAAGGTGTTAAATTAAGATCTATGAAAGGATTAGAAAGGTAACTGCAGATGTGTATCTCATGGGTAATAATTGTAAGGTTATTGTAGTTGTGTTGATGTCTGTATGTAATTGTATGATTAATTTTCTATGGAGTAATTTGTTGGACTTCAAATTTTTAAAAATATTTTTCAGTATGGTGGTGATATTACCCGAAAAATGAAACTTTTGAAGAGACAAGCAGAAGGAAAGAAAAAACTGAGGAAAGTTGGCAACATTGAAGTTCCAAGAGATGCTTTTATAAAAGTTCTAAAGACACAATCTGATAAGTAATTGCTGGAAAAAAAATATAATGAATTTTCATAAATTAAAATTTGTGTATCTTTTTTCTTAGTAACTGTATATGTTGACAACAGAGTGAAAATTATAAAACTTGCTTGTTGCTTTCAGGGTTTTTGGGTTTAAATAACCTATTAGCAGGGGCACCTGGGTAACTCAGTCGGTTAAGTGTCCTACTCTTGATTTTGGTTCAGGTCATGATCCCACGGTTTGTGAGTTCGAGCCCCACATCGGGCTCTGTGCTAGCGACTCAAAACCTGCTTGGGATTCTCTTTCTCTCTCTGCCCCTTCCCCACTCATTCCCCACCCCCGCCCCCTCAAAAATAAACAAAAATAACCTATTAGCTTTTCTTTGAAAAGGAAGTAGTAGGTGGATAAGAGCTTGGATTCTGAAGCCATATTGTCTGGTTTCAAACTTCTGTTCCGCCACTCACTGGCAAGGTAGATTGTTACTTAATCTCTGTTTACTCTTTAGTAAAATCAGGATTATACTATTATTTACCTCCATAGGTTGTTGGGAAGATTATATCAGATAGTATGCTTAGAATATTCAGAAGAGTGTATGACACAATAGTATGTACTTAGTGAATCTTAACTATTTTGTTTTCACGCATATTTTTTTTTAAGTTTATTTTGAGAGAGCAAGCACACATGAGCAGGGAAGGGACAGAGAGAAAGGGAGGGAGAAAATCCCGAGCAGGATCCTTATTGTTGGGGCAGAGCCTCACATGGGGCCCCATCTCACGAACCAAACTGAGATCATAACCTGAGCTGAAATCAAGAGTTGGATGCTTAACTGACACAGCCCCCCAGATGCCCCATGAGTATTTTTCTTACACTGAAAGGCCCCATACTTAAGATTCTCTCTAGTTCAACCCCAAGATATTCTCAAAATCACCTTATCAGTTTATTGTTAGCTGGATAAATTTAGATTTATAGGAGTTATTAAATAAAGTCAAATAGCATACTAGCTGGACAGGCGCTGTTTAGTTTTTGTTAAAATTTTTATAAATATTTGGAACTAGACAATTTATATACACATCTAAATTAAAATTAAGGGTAGGAGCTGTCTTAATTTTATAATTAAAATGCATTTGGTGCAAAATGATAGGTATTTGGTATTAGCAGCAGTATTAATAATAGTATTAATTGCTAGATTTCATAATTGAAAATTTGAGCTTTAGTTAAGTAATTTAGTTGAATCACACAGGCAGTAAATGGTTGTCATGCTTTAAAATATGTCCTTTTGGGGCGCCTGGGTGGCGCAGTCGGTTAAGCGTCCGACTTCAGCCAGGTCACGATCTCGCGGTCCATGAGTTCAAGCCCCGCGTCAGGCTCTGGGCTGACGGCTCAGAGCCTGGAGCCTGTTTCCGATTCTGTGTCTCCCTCTCTCTCTGCCCCTCCCCCGTTCATGCTCTGTCTCTCTCTGTCCCAAAAATAAATAAAAACGTTAAAAAAAAAAAATTTTTAAATATGTCCTTTTAACTACTATGTTTACCAAGTTAATGAACAAATGAGAGGGCAGATGGTATTACAGTAAGAGAAATAACTTAGCTATTTAATTTTGTCCTCTACCTTGAATGTACTGAATGACGTAAATGTCTTTTGGGGATAAGACTATTGATACATGTTATACTAAGGTTATTACATTATGAAGTAATTTTACAGAAGATAGGATTTATTAAAATTGTGTATAGAAGTTAATTACCTGTGATTTCATCCTTATATAACCTATCTTTCCTATCTCTTCTAGCTGTATTAGAACAGATGAAATATGAAATTCTGTAACAGTATTTTGGAAAATGGCAGTATATTTGAAACTAGAAGAGCATTTACATATAATTTCTAATACAGAGTGTTCTGTTCTACCATTACTTTCAGGAGAAAGAAGTTGGTACCTGACATGAAGTATACACCATGTGTATACTATGTAATATTTGTATTTTATTAGTAGGCATAGAATTTGGACACATTTAATTTTCTTCCTTTAAGCTCTTTTTAGGAAGCAATTTTACTTAAAGTAATAAAATATATTTTTCAAATTTTTTAATATAAGCTTAAGTTCTCTCCCCTGGTCACCCTACCAAACAGGTGATTTTCATGGTTTAGAGTTGTGTGCCTTCTAAGTGTATCCCTGATAGGACTTTGCTATACTAAGATTTTTGCAGATACTACAATAATGTAAATGAGTATTAGAATAGCCACCATTTATTGAGTTTAATATGTGACAGCCACTGAGCTGAGCTCCATAGGCATTGCGTCATTCAGTCTACACACAGTCAAGATATAGATACTATTACCATCCTATCTTACAGGGCAAGAAGCTCAGACTCCCACGTTGCCAGTGTCATTGACAGAGCTAGGATTTAAACAGTGGTTTCTTTATCCAAACCCCACCAGTTCTTAGCTACCATATTTTATTGCCTTGTGGAAATATCTATTAGCCTTCTTAGTTCTTTACTTAGCAGCAGCTTGGCCTCTGAGCTAGGGAGCTAGAGTCACCAGAAATCAGTTTGCTTGAGGACCTGAACCTAAAACCAGCACCTAACATCAGGGGCAGTGATGGTAAGATCTTCTAAACTGTGTCTCAGCTATGCCATTTAAAGCACAAAAGTTAACTACTGAACCATGTACTAAAAACAGGTATCTTTAGCTATTTCACTATAATACTAGGACATTCTTAGTTAAGATTGTTTGTAGTAAACGGTACAATTTTATTACCAGGTGTGTGACTGGAAGATTATACTGACATACTAGTCACTTAAAGACCATTTGTAACACTTAAGGTTATTATAACTGCATTACCTGTAATTAAAGGAGCATATTTTATTTTAAACGTTATATTTATTTTTGTTTAATTTTTATTGTTAATACGTTTCAGTCACATTTCAATTAAGGTATGCTTAATTATGTTAAATAATGTTCTTCTAGGTGCAAAATATGCAGAAGGGAGCATTTTTTATTCCCCAAGGAGTGACTAAGAAATTATAGGTAGAATCATTGCCTTTTCACTCAGATCTCCCCAAATGCATGATGGCAACAAACAAGAATAAATGCAGGCTCAATACAACTATTAATGTTGGAATCTCTCAGATGTGTGTATTCAGTTTCACTTCTGGAAATAAAATTTAGATAGCATTTGTTTATTATAAGCTTTATTTGAATTAAAGATAGAAAACAATATAGTTTTATTTGCAGTTTAATGATGCAAGTTGTTAATGGCAATCTAAAATAGTTTACAGTAATTCCTTTTATATATACTTTATCATGTTATCTTTTTAGACATATAAGTAAGGAATAAAGCTAATCATTTATGAAGTTTAACAATAATCAGAAAATTGTCTTCAAAAGAATTTCCTTAAGAGTGTTGCTAGGTATAAAGTTCATAATTGCCAAAATACTTATTAAAAGCATGAACCCAAGTCATTAAATAAAAATAAGAGCACATTTGTAAAAAAAGTGCTGTAGAAGGTGGTGCACAAAAATCATGCACTTATACATACTTTCCAAAAGGACGTAAACTGTACTTTTAGGCACTGTCATTTCTTCAGATTTTCTGTTCCAACAATATACAGCAGGACTTTTCATGTCCAGATGCCACTGCAGGAAGGGGCTAAGGCAACCACGTGCAGAAAAGCTTGTGTGTGATGCACAGAAAATACAAAGATTACATTCCAAAACTAAAGGTTTGCAATGATTTTTTGATATCTGAAAGGTGGAGTGTCTTTATGTGATTAAAAAATAAAATTCTTGAGAATGCCACCAGATTCATATGAATGATACTTGATGTATATTCTTCACATTTAAAATGACTTGAAATTTTTAAACAGACATTTCATTTCTGCACTGTTTTATAGAGTGGCTGTGTGGCTTCTGTACTTTACAATAACAGCTATTTGTGAGAGCCAACTACTTCTCCTAAACCTTAGTATAAAATGGACACATTGTAAATATGGAATGTTTAACATATAGGTATTGGACTTCAAAAATGACAGTCTTCAAAAAATCCCCATGTTTTATCATATTGCATAGCTGAAAATTCATCTACTTATAAAAGTGTTCTGTTCATTCAAGCAGAATTTTGCTCCAATCTCCTTCAATTTCCTTCTTTCATACTGTATAGTGGATCCACAAGTTTATTGTGCACATGCATTAAACCTTAAAGAAAAAAAGCACAGTTCTGGTTTTATTTTTGAATTATATCTCATTTACTTTAGAAAATAGAAGAGCTTATAAGACACAATAAGTATATCATTTCCTGTCTGATACAGAATAAAGTTTTATTGAAAAATGAAAATAGAAATATTCTATAATGGTTAGTTGTAACTACCTAGCAAACAGCAATTTACAGTATTTATGGAGCTGTAGATCTAGGATGTGTACAGATGCTTTGGGAGTAACCAGAAGTAGAAGCAGTTCTTGTCTTCAGAGCTTCAGTATGACAAAAATAACAAATGTGAATACTGACTTGATGAATACACTTTAATTATATCTGTAAGTGTGTTGAATTTGATCCTCTGGCATTTCCTCTACCAGACTCCAGCTAGGGACAGAACTGTTGTTACACTAGGATAGTATTACCCCATTCATTCATCTGGCAAGTTATTTTCCATTATTTTGGCGTGTGTGTTTACAGTAATAAGCCACACTGAAGGAAGTTAGTGAAAAAAAAATCCAAGGTACTATTAAAAAGTTGGACAATCCAGGGGCGCCTGGGTGGCGCAGTCGGTTAAGCGTCCGACTTCAGCCAGGTCACAATCTCGCGGTCCGGGAGTTCGAGCCCCGCGTCAGGCCCTGGGCTGATTGCTCAGAGCCTGGAGCCTGTTTCCGGTCTGTGTCTCTCTCTCTCTGCCCTCCCGTTGCGCTCTGGCCTCTCTCTGTCTAAAAGCCGTTGAAATTAAAAAAAAAAAAAAAAAGTTGGACAATCCAGGGGCGCCTAGGTGGCTCAGTCGGTTAAGCGTCCGACTTCGGCTCAGGTCGTGATCTCACGGTTTGTGGGTTTAAGGCAGCGTGCGAGGAGCTCTGTGCTGACAGCTCAGAGCAGGTATATTTCGATTCTGTATGCTCTCTCTTTCTGCCCCTTCCCCACTTGCACTCTGTCTCTCTCTGTCTCAAAAATAAATAAACATTAAAAAAAAAAAGTTGGACAATCCATATTTAAACGTTAACAAAAGAGTTAAACTTAGAATACAAGAAAAAATAGAGCAGTCAGTACTGAGCCATCTCTGACTCCCAAGTGCTGAGAATTGGAAGCTGCCCACCTGGCAGAAATCAAGTACAGCCCCAACTCTTAGGATGTAACAGAGCTAGAGACGGTTCAAGGAGTCTTTGAATCTCCCACATTAATATACGAATGTGTGTGAGCATGTGTGCATTTTTTTCTGAGGACAGTCTCTTCACCAGATTTTCAAAGTGGCCCATGACCCAGAAAGTGAAGAGCCATGACATGAACCCTGGTTTTTCTTTTTGCTCTTAACCCCTACCTTCCATTTTGCTTTAAAATTTTTGGAGTATAATCTGCCTGGCTAGCTCAGTTGGGAAGAGCAGGTGAGTATTGATTTCAGGGTTTAGTTCAAGCCATACGTTGGGTGTAGAGATTAAAAAAAAAGTATAATCTAGCCCTATTTTATCAATACACTTTAATGGTTCTCTGTTCTATTAACAGGAACTTTTTCTGCTGCTTTGTTAGCTCTTCCTTACATTTGTGCTATTGCTTTTGCCATTTCCTCCCAATCTAAATGCTACTATCCATTTTCTGGGGCTTTGAATCCTATCAAGTTAGAAGTTAAACTATGCTATTTAACTCTTTCTCCTTATTTAATATCCTTTGGACTTCATGGGGATATTTATAGAATTCAGTGCTTAGATGGTTTCATAGTCTTGTGTTCTCCCATCTATCTACCTATCTGACTACCCACCATTTATCAAATGCCTCCAGTATACCAAGCAAACTTCTAGACAGTGAAATAATGCAGTGAACAAAACTTAAGTCCCCACCTCTATGGAGCTTTTATTTTAATGAAATACATTTTATTTTCTCAAATCACTTAATGAGCCAACTTTTTATGATACTGAGTCACCTACTTGCAGATAGGGATACTTGTTACATTTCTTTTTGCTAACACTATGGGAGACTATGTATTTGAAGGCACTTAAGCCCCTTGGCTGATGACACTAATTGGTAAATATACTTTATGTTTACCAAAAATATACACTAAAAGGTAATGTGTATAGTGCAGAAGAAATATTTGCTAATAAAAACTATCAGATGATATCTCCTATTTAAAATAGGATTTAACTGAAAAGTTTAATTCAACAACCAATATGTAAAAAGCAGTAAAATGGGGACTAGAGAAAGCCAGGAGGAGAGGGAACAATAAAGACAAAGGTAATTTTAGCCACTTTGTTTAGAAGATGTATTCTCTTATGGAGAAGTAGCTATAATAAGGTTCATTCTACTTGATACAATTCATCTATCATTTACTTACAGCTTTGATCATGGAGATAATACATTAGAGATTTAAAACACAAAACAAAATAAAAGTTCAACTCTATAAGATTTAACTATATATTGGCTGTAACTTTTAAACTTCAGGCTGTTTCCAAACTAGAAATTATTTTGAAAATTTTATTACTTGCATTTTGGAGGACACAAAGAATTTACTATGACCTAAGGTTAAACTGACAACTTTCAATACAAGAATTTGATAGAAACAAATCATTGCTATTTAAATCACTAACAGACAAAAATAAATTGAATACTAAAACGTATAGACTTCCTGAAATGTTGCCAGAAGAAGTGAAATGTCATAGATTCTAAATGTCAGTTTTATGGTTTTGGCTCAATCTGAACTCATTTGACCTCTGTCAATCTATTGGAGCAGGGCCTACAAAGGATGAAGCCAAAAAAATGTTCACTATGATGATGATGTCTTGAAAATCTATTCTCTTAACATAAAATAAGTTTTATATAAAATTAGCAAAAACAAATCAGAAAACATTCAATGTTAAACTATATTTTCCTGTGATTTACTGCTATCTTTTAAAAGGTATACCTGTATACTGAAATAAACTTCCATTAACTAATGATTTTTATTTTAGATGCAGTTAACCTAGATTTTCATAGAGAGCTAGATAATTAGAACCCTTTTAGGCACTTTTTAGTGATTGTAGAAGAAAGAGTAGGGATGTGAACACAATACGAAGAATTATAGACGGTAACCACAAGATTCATATTCTCCAGTACATCTTGAAGTGATAGAATAACTCAATGAAGATACGGAAAATATATAAAACTACATTTGAATATGCATAAATCTATGAATATTCAGTTCTACCCTGTATTAAAATACCGTACTATGAAATGAGGTCTGATATAACCTGAACAAGATCTCAATTCCATTTTTCTCCATATTGGAGGCACCCTGACTGAAGCTGATACCCTGAACCTCTTCAGAAATATATGCAGCTCCCCTGAGGTACAGAATACAGTGCCTTCAAAAGAGCAGTGTGGTGATTTTCTCATAGTCTACACTTCAAGATGTTTCAGAAGAGCTTACAATCTGATAGATGAATTAAAAGAACAAAGTATATATAATCACCTACCTCCTGTCTGTTTTAAATTACCTTTAAAATAGGTCGGAAGCAATTATTTTAGTATGAAAAACTAAAATTGCTTTTGGAAGCAGTTGTTATAGTATGAAAACCCAAACAAACAGAAATATGGTTTAGATAGCCAATTTATACCTATTCTATGAGGCAGTATAAGAGTGGACAAAAGCCTAGACTCCAGATAAGCGTGGTATCACTTAACCCGCTCTACCCACATACAAACTGACTTTGGGTGACAATATCTCTATTAAGCCTGTTAACTCATCTATAAATGGGATTATATAAGAGTATCCACTTCATAGAATTGTGCAAATTAAGTAAATCAAGTATAATCCATTTAGAATAGTGACTGGTCATTTAATTATTATAGGCTATTGAGTATTTTATTAAATATTTACTTCACATAAAATGTAAACTTTTTCTGTAAAAAACAAATGGACAAAGTCTGATAAGCACAGGGGTTTGAGGATTGCTGATATATTAAAATATGAGAATGTTAAAAAGAATCTCTTTAAAACCGGCATTAAATAAAATATGTGGATAATGGGGATTCCTCCTGTTAATTTTTTCAAGGAGTCTAGTATTTGAAATGAAATCCAAAAGACTACATACATGGGTAAAACTCCATCCAAGAGCTCTGTCATATTCACAACTCATGACAGATATTTCCGCTTTTACCTCTCAACTTATTAAACAGAAATTTTTCAGTTTAATTTGATATCTGTGTGGCTTGGCAAAAAAAAAAAAAAAAAAAAAAAAAAAAAAAGTAATTTTGATGAAAATATAAATACTGGAAATAATAAGGAAATGTTTAAGTGAATTATGATACATCTACTTGACTATTATATAGTCATTAAATTTACTTTTGAAGAATATTTAGTAAAATAGGAAAATGCTCACAACAGTTAAGTACAAATACAAACCATATAAACATCAAAATTGTGTTTGTTTACTGTTCATCCAACTTCCATCATTTGTGCATCACCTTCAAGATTTCTGCCACATTCACACATTTACATGAACTATGGAGTTAATTTAAAAATTTCCTTTAAATTGACATAATTTAAGTTACATACTATATTTCATGAATGAGACACTGAAGACTATAAGACACACATTATTTTATGTACCATTAAGAAAAAAAATGCTACCAGGTAACTGACAGTGACACGAATTTTAAACACATCCCAGTTTCAGACAAAACAGATGAAAAAAGATGTGTCTTAGAGGCAATAAAATATGGTAACTTCTTTAGCCCTGTCAAAGCAATTATATTCATGAAATATAGGTTTGATTGGCTCAGTATATTTATTCTAATACATGTTAAATAAATACCTAGTTACTAGAGTAAGAAAATTAAAAATACATATTCATTCATGTAATAACAGTATTACACATAACTACATACTTTGTGAATTACTGACATGTGTGTCTCTATATATATGATCAGTTACATTTTCGTATCAGCTACAGGTACTTTATAAAGAGCACCTATTTATACAGCTTTTTATGTGTATATGTGGAATTCACTCTTAAGCAGAGAACGGGTTCTGAACAGTATAGTCCTTGAAAACCTGTTAAATCACCCATTACATCAAGCACTTGTGGTTTCATATATAAAACCTGGTACAGCAAGGTTTAAGAATTACTGAACTAGACTGCAGGAAGAGTCAAAAGGAAAATCTACATGCAGAAGTCTGGGCAGTCAAACCCTGCTTACTTGCAGAGTTTATTCCATACTGTTGACGCAGAACCATTATAACTACATGGGAATAATTTGAATTTGTGAAGATTAGATGAGATAGTGGGTGACCCAACCTATCTGCTGATTAGGTTCTATTTTAAACATAGCTTGGCGAGGGAGATGGAACAGGGAAACAATGGAAAAATCAGAACATATATACATTTCCTTTTGGGTTAATTTTGCATATACAATTATGAAAGTAAATATTTTATTAAATTTGGATTCAAGAAAAATATTGTTCACTGAAAATACAGATCGAAGAGATTCTCTTCATGAAAAAAAATAGGAAAATATTCTGAAAGCAACTATCATCTGCAGTGAGACTTTTCTATTTTCCTTAAAAAAAAAAACAAAAAAAACTGGCTAGTGTGTTGGTAAAAAGCCAGTTTTCAATAGGCACAGTGCAGGATGTAACTCCATAGTCTCATTAAGTTTTAACTGTCATCTATAATGGAACGTTCTCACAATCTACTTCTGAAATTTCAATGCTCACCTTTAAAGTATTTCACAGTTTTAACTCTTAATTCTAAAGTAGCATCTTCATCACACACAAAAATAGTTCGGGGATGCTGCTGGAAAGCGGAAACAGTCCACATGTGATTTACTCCTTCTTCTATTGCTTTGTAGAGAGCAAATGCCTTGTGTGCACCTGTTATGAGGATCATTACCTGGAAAATCATGACCATTACATATTAATTCTTAAAACATGTTTCAAATGACAAAAAAGCTTTTTTTTTTTTTTTAAGAAACAAAGATGCTAGCACCAATATCCTTCTGAAGGCAAAACAAAAATAAATAGCTACATATTTCTTCACAGTTCAAGAGTTTTATTTCTGTTCAAGATAAAAGGAAAGCATAAACTGTATCTCTCTTCTGGTTTATGAAAGTAAAATAGTATCTCTATAATGAGTATTACTGAATATACCATAATGCATATAGTTATTAATATATTAAATACTGACGTGCAGAAGAGCCCTGGGAGAATGAAGAAGAAAGAAAAGGGCTGTTTTGCAAAAGCAGAATTACAAGTCAGCAAAGAATTTATATAACCAAGAATGATATACCAATTGCTCTAGTCCAGACAAGCAATACAGTAGATATTACTTTGAAAGTAAGAGAAAGAAGCCTAAAGACTATTTCATTGAACATGTGCTATCTAAAGTTGTCTTGAAACAAAAACTAGATTTGAAAAAAGGATTAGGGATCTACTTAAATGCAAGAACTGCCCTTCAAGCACACATGACTGAGAATACCCTTATGAACTATAGAAAATCCAAGCTCTTGGTCCCCAATTCCTACAACCTATAATTCAAAGAACATGTGCAAATCAAAGTGGCTATGCATGAGAATAAATCCCTACCATTTTTAGCACTAAATCAATTCTATTTTATAAGTTAATCTAAACAATATATGTAATCTTTCAAACATGATTTTTTTTCATTGTAATGGTTAACTAAAAAATGAATATTAAGGTGGTTTTAATTCAAAAATATTGTAACATCATAAAAATTCTGCTTTGCCTATTTTAAAACCACACTTCTAAACTAGGAAGAAATTAAAGATTAATGAAACAGATACTATACTTATTTTATCAAGATTTAATACTTTTCATTTTGAAGCTATACATACTCATTACTATTAGAGCCCATGAACTGAGAGATATGTATGAATTTCTACAAATGTTCTTATTGAGATTTCTTGTTCTTAAGTATAAAGATCTAGGCTAGTGGAAAATTCATTATAGCATCATCACATAAAAGCTTTTGTTTTTTTAAAAAACTGTATTTGATATAATAAGGTAAGCATAACACAGATTAACAGATTTGTTAATTAGTTTTCCCTGCTGGATATTATTAACCAGTGTTTTGTTTCTTAAGAGTAATATATGTGTTATAGAGGCATTAAAAAAAAAAAAAATACAGGTTCTTTGTTTCATCCTGTCTTTCAATTTATAATGTTTGGAGTTAGGACCCAGGAACCAGGGTCCCCTAAGTGATTATTAAGCAATCTGGCAGAAGTCCTTAGACTAACACCTGAGAAGTCTCTACCAAGTTTCTTTCATGCTTTCTTAAATCTAGTGATTACGGCATAAAGGATACTTTCTCAAGTTTTATTTTAAGACACCGTCAAAATATGATTTGGTGGTTACAAAGTTCAAACACTGAACTTAGCACTTTCCTTGAATTACCTCATTTATCTCCTCAAAACAACAGCATGAGATACTGTTCTTATTCACATTTTACAGAAAATGAAATAGAAGCACAGATATTCTGTAACTTGCCCAATATTCCTGTAAGACTAAGATATAAACAAGTCTTATTCCAGGGTCTATATCCTTAACTATATTAGATTGTCTCTTGAGAAATAAGGAAACTGTTAAAAGGTCTGCCAATTAGACAATATGAGCTAACTGTCATTACTGAAGCAAATAATGTAAAATAGTAATGGGAGAAGTGGCAACAAATTTCTATGTTGAATGTATACTGTGAAAAAACAAAGACAAACATTTACCAATGAGTAAGGGTAAATACACAGTATTATGAAAAGAGTGAAATGAAAGGAAGCTGCTGAAAGTCCGGTGTGGGATGAAGAATTACTCATTAGTGTGTGTGCAAGCCTAAGACATACATAACCTTTAACTGAGAATTAAGAAGATATATCTAGAAGAAATGAAAAAAATGTTGCTCTCGGAATGTAATTTGATGGTGATATGTAATTAGTTTTACTCTACGCACTCCAGTATTCTCAAGGAAAGTATTTCTCACATGAAAAAGCTTTAGAGTAGCTCCTATCTGAAACCAAGTCTTTAAAGATAAGCAGGAAAGCTCCACACAGGGGGCATGTCAGACAGTTATGGGGTGGTCAGTAAAAAGCTAGAAATTTGGTAAGGCTGGCGTATAGGAAAATGAAAGGAAATGCTTGAACACTGGTGGAGATCTGATAATACAGAATCTTGTTATGGCAGAGAGGCTAGGCTTCATTTTTTGATAGAATAATAGGGCATCAGAGACTCTTAATTACATAGGTAAGTAATAAACTGAACTATGGTTTTGAAAAAAATAATTCAGACTGTAACACATAAAACGTGATAAAGAATGGATATCGCCATGATTTAAAATGGGTTTGCAATAATTCTTGAAAAAACTGATATAGGCTTAATAGGCAGTGGTGATGGAGGGAGGGCAGGATCCTTATTTACCTTTAAGTAGTTTATTAAATACTTGGAATTTGGTGACTCATTAGATGTAGAGAAGATGCTGAGAATGACCCATGTTTCAAGCTCAGATAATCTTCATGGTGAGTGCTGTTATTCACCAAGAGAGGGAATATTCAGAAGAGAAAGGCAAATTTGGTAGAAAGATAAATTTAAATTTTGGACAGTGTAAGTATACAAGGAGTCTTTAAACATCTCGATGTCAGCTAGAAGTTGGAAATATGAAACTTGAACCTTCAGAAAGTTAAGATAAAGATATGTATTATTATTACTGTACTGAGAGTACTTTATCTTTTTGGAATAGTAATAAAACTACAGAAAGAATGTTACAAAAAGTTACTGCTGTTGACTTATTTAAAAAAAAAAAAAAAAGTCATGCTCTAAAGCATGCAGAGTGGATATACAGTTCCAGGATGAAACCCTAGGGAACAACAATATTCAAGACGCAGATGAAGGAAGAACAGCCTGGGAAGCAGACTGAGAAGGAATGCTCAGAAAGAAAGAAGAATGCTAGAGTTTTATGATGGAAGGAATGGTCAACGTTCGTAGATGATGAAAAGACACCCAGTTGGACCAGAACTGCAGAGAAGATGCCAGTTTTAGCAATGAAGAAATCATTGGTGACGTCAGTGATTTCCAGTAAAGCAACAAAATCAAAAGCAGATTTTTAAGTTTTATTAGTTTTTCTTATGTCATCTTAAGAATAAATATCTAAAGTATTACAATAATATATAACAAATATAAATGTTACAACGGTGAAAAAAATTTATCTTTTCTTTTGAAATTACCTTTAGAACATATGACAATATCTTTAAATATACCTCAGTAAAAACAAATTTGAATCCTTTGAAGGCAGATTTAGCTTTTGACATAGAGCCAAAAGTCAATAAAAATCAGATCTGATGGTTCAAGTAAATAACCAAGCTGTGGATAGAACTAACCTTGTCTAACATGAATCATGAACATAATAATGCATTAAAACTATTCCCCAAAGTTATTAAATACTTATTATATTGCAGGCATTGTAAGGTACTAGATATATATGACCTATAAACTCACAGGATTGTAAGTTAGTAAGAAAAAAGATATTAAACCAGTAAACATACAAGAACAATCAGAAATTGTGAAAAGTGCAAATAAAGGAAAAGAAAAATGGTCTGAGAGAAAATAGAAAAAAGTAACTCTGATTATGAGGATTATGGTTAAGAAAGGGGTTTCTGAATGTTGAAAACTGCAAGGTGCCATTTCACCTAAGCAAGGTCCAGAAAAGTAGAGCATTTCACACACACCATTAGTGTGAAGGCCTCAAGCCAAGGAAAGAGTGATAAAGTAGTGACGGGTGTGGTTCCTTATCTAGTTGACAATTCCCAATCTTAAAGAAACCTGTAATAACTTCCAGGGTGTCACCTCCAGGGTGTGTACAGAGGTCTTCATTAACCAAGTTGCCAAAATGATGCTGCTTAGTGATGAACTAATTAACCACTTAGGAATTTACTTTCCTATTCAAATGTATTTTCCATTTAACAGTAGCATCTGCCCCATACATTGATTCAAAGTTCTATTAAGTGTATTTTTTAATTTTTAAAAATTTTTTTTAACATTTATTTATTTATTTATTTATTTATTTATTTATTTATTTACTTTTGAGAGACAGAGAAAGAGCACAAAGCGGGAGATGGGCAGAGAGAAGGAGACACAGAATTAGAAGCAGGCTCCAGGCTCTGAGCTGTCAGCACAGAGCCTGACACAGGGCTCTAACTCACAAACTGCGAGATCGTGACCCGAGCCGAACTCGGACGCTTAACCGATTGAGCCACCCAGGCTCCCTTAAGTGTTATTTTTTAAAATATTTTATTTTTAAGTAATCTCTACACCCAACGTGGGACTTGCACTCACAACCCTGAGGCTAGAGTCGCATGCTCTACTGACCAAGCCAGTCAGGCACTCCTTAAATGTATCTGTTCTTAATGAAACTGAAATTGAAGAGCAGCTTACATCACAGCTAATACCACTGGCAAATGAAAATCTGTACATTAAGCTCCTTAAAATTAAACATAAGAAAATCATTAAGTACCATGACATGATATTTATTTCAAAAGAATGCTATAAAAATCAAAGTACTAAGTCCCCTGGGAAAATAAGAGTCCTACAATAGTTCTGCCATAATGATTTATAATCATGCTAGGAGTGAAAATTGTGAGGTGAGTGAGTGGCATCATAAAATCTTGTTGGAAAAACTGACCAAAAGAAAATCAATACTTGAACAACCCTCTGGTCATTCTAAGAATTAATGTAAGTACGTTATAACTTTAATCTGATTAAATGGAAGAAATCTATTTGTATAACTTCCATATTTTAGAAATACAATTGCTCTAAAATCTTTTTTCAACTTATAAAATTTCAATCCTTGAAAGGCCTTTCTTCATATAGTGGAAGTGATAACTTCCACATGAAAAACTACATTTTGAATGACAGTTGCTAGGTGTACGTTAAAGTCTAGACATATTTACATTAAGATCATTTACTTACTCATCATAACTTTTCTGTACACTTTACTCAAAACCTATCCCATCTTGTTGCCACAAAAGAAAGGAATTTCCATATAATGTAGCCACTTAGAATCATGAGCTGACTATAATTTTTTCTCTTATTCTCAGGGAAGGAAATGAAAGCCCAATTAAAAATTAAAAAATTAGGGGGCGCCTGGTGGCTCAGTTGGTTAAGTGTCTGACTCTTGATTTTGGCTCAGGTCATGATCTTGCAGTTTGTGGGTGCAAGCCCATGTCAGGCTCTGTGTAGACAGTACACAGGCTGCTTAGGATTCTCTCTCTCAAAATAAATAAATAAACTTTAAAAAACATGATGGTTCTTTACAAAAAAATTAAAAAGGAGGGAAGTTCTGTGCAGAGTTCTTGTCTTTTTAAGTATACCAAATTTAGAACAGATCCAGCCTTAGACGGGTTCTTTTTCTGTTGGAAACTAACTGGCTATCCTCCTACAGTCAAGATGTACTTTACACTGAATTATCCCAAGCCTCCAAAATTATCTACAGCCTAGGGCTGTAACTAGCCTCATAGTCCTTTCACCAGATTATTTCACTTAGAAACAGACCATTTGATCAGTATAATTTTAGAAACTCAAACTGTAACGCAAGGAATAGGCACATGAAGCAGTACTCCAAAAGGGATGGTACCTAATTCTTAGTTTACATAAGCTACAAAAACTCAATTTAGTTAAATTTTAAACACTGCAATAAGACTTACAGAAGCTACTGAAAGCTAGGTAACAATTTACATTGTGAATAGGATGTAACCAAAATATCACTAATTTGGTGCTGTATTTTCTCCAAAATCTATAGACATCAAAGAATATTTAATTCTTACTTCTCTTGCATCCATCACTGTCCCCACGCCAACTGTTAGAGCCATAGTTGGCACCTTCGATAAATCTCCATCAAAATATTTAGCATTTGCCAAAATGGTGTCCATCGCTAGAGTCTTTAATCTTGTCCTTGACACTAAACTGGATCCTGGCTCATTGAAAGCGATATGGCCATCTGGACCAATTCCTTTTAAAAGAAGTATACATACACATATACACATAAAGTAAATAAGGTTTCCCAAAGTTCAAGTTGTTTTAAAGAGCAAAGTCATAAACACGCTCACCTTGTTTTATTTGATAGCCGGATATCTAATGCTGCATGAAAATATTTGTTCCTGTATTTGATTCAACAAGTATTTCAATGTTTTCCACATGCTTAGCACTGAGCAAGAACGATTGTAATAGCAGTAAAATTAAGTATTACCTTATATCAGCATAACACTTCACAGTTTATAAAGCATTTTTTGCATCTCAACAACACATATTTAAAAATCTTTAAGATAGTCTTATTAGGCCTATCTATTCGCCTCATCTCCCCACCTGTTTTTGAGCTCAACGCTTTGTTTTGAGTGCAAGCTTCTCCTGCTTGCACTCTCTCAAAAATAAACAAAGAAACTCTGGCATTCAAGGGTAATACATGACTTATTCAAGATAACAATTTAGTAAATACTGAGACAAAACTGAAATCTAAATCTTCTGATGCCTAACACAGTGGTGTTTAATACTTTAACTTGGCTTGGTTCTAGTCTAGATGGGGCAATTAACTACTGGACCTCCCTGTAGCAGTTTCCTCACTTACAAAAATGTCTAGAACGGATAATACTGGGCAGTAGTTTGCTTCAGACTTTTTTGACTAGAAATATATTTGACACTGCAATCTAGTAGTACACATGTAAACACATAAACACAAACCAAAGTAATTAAAAACAAGAACGCATGAAACAATACTTACCCCTGCTAGGAGCCATTCTATTTAATTCTATTTCATTAGCAAAACACACAAAAGGGAAATGCTAAATGTGAATGACTATACTGATTTCATGACTTAATAATGGGTGACAACTACAACTTGAAAACACTGCTTTAAACAGACATACTGACAGTTCTAATATTCTAGGATCGCCTCTAAATAATAGATGGGAACATGACATTCCTTATTTGAATGAAATTGGAAGCGAATCTTTTTGTAAAATGAAGAATCTCTATAGCATGAATAAATCAAGTTTTACACATGGGTACTCTAATAGATTTCTGACAACCTCAATGAAAAAATAAACTCATACGTTCTGAGTCAAAATATGTTACATTTATATTCTTCATATTAACTTTAATGATAGATATGTGTATTTTACTGACTCTTAACCTCTTAACCTACAACTCTAACCAATTTCTCCCAGGTTACAACAAAGCAAAAAATGACAACAAATAACCTGGTTTTGATGGAAGAAATGAAATCTAAGGGAGCAGATATAAGCTACCAAAGCACTACATTCTAGAAATTTTTAATGTGGTGAACTAAAGTCTGACCCACATGTGGTTAATATGTATGGACTTTTTCCATTAGTGTATATCTGCTTGTTAATAAAATTTTTAAATTAAAAATATGAATTTCTCTCTAGATTGGTAAAATTGTTCTGTTTCTCCTCTTAAGTGTACATCGGTGCAAATATTTACATTTTTCTATTTATGTATAAAGAAGAAAGGATAGAACCATGAAAATAAAAGTTCCAGAAAAAATAGGAAGTCCTCAAGGATCAACACCAGTGTTGTCAGTGGTGATGTGGGTCGTACAAAAGTGTACAGTACAGCTGAAATTATCAGTAGTGTCAATACAGCCCCTTACTAACCAAGAGTAACTATCAGAAATTGAGCTTCCTGATATATTTTAAAAGTGTTCAGAATGTTTCATAAAGCTTTACAAAACTTTCGTTAAAATAATCATGAAATGTAACAACCATGGCAAATTCTCAGTATTTAAGTCAACCTAATACATTAGCACCTTTATGAAATATCTCTAAAACCTCAGGATCTAGATTACATGCCTTTCCTATGTCCCTAAAGTTCTGTGGGGTATAATGTAAATTTCACTGGAGTAAGGACTCTCTCTCTCTAACCTTACTTACTTACTTAATTACTGTATCCTTACCTCTTAGAACAATACAGGACACATAGGAGGCCCTCAATGAATAATGGCTGAAGAGATGAACAGATGGTTGCTATTCTTTGGTATGCTCAGTATACTTTCTCCCTCCTCCTCCTACACTGCTCTGCTTCCCTCACAATTGAGGGGACCTTAATCTACTCTATATCTCTCTGAGGGAGGATGATTGTGGTCTAGTGATAAATACTTGTCCCCAGCTGAAACAATCAGAATTTCTCTCAGGAAATTCTGAAAATTGAGCAAGGATGCAGAAAAGAAAAAAGGTATCTAGAGCTGAGGTATTTGATGATAGCACTGCAGGAGAGGGTCCATGAGTTCCTACTTTGGAGATCTCAGGCTCCTTCATTCTTGTTCTTCCAAAGACTTGGCTGTTTCAACCCGTCTCCAAATTCTGTGAGTTAGCCTAGAATCATTCCAATTAATGCACTTTTGGTCCCAAAATAAGTCACAGTTACTTTCAAACCAAAGAATCTAATCATGTAACCAAAGAAGAAGGTTAAAGTTTTCCCCACTGTCTTATTTTTATTTTTTTAAAAACAGTACCTTAAAATAATTTTAAAGTTAGTAATACCTTAGTTTATTTATAAAATTTCATATTTGTATATTTTATTGCTGGGGGTAGGTAAGGGATTGCACGACACACTTTGCTCTTTCTCTTAACAAATCTGTCGTCACAAAGAATGAGAACTTCAGAGATTATACATTTTCCTTTTTTCCTTTCTATTGAGGAAAGGGAATTCCTATTCTATTTACCAGGAGTAAGAAATGATGTGTTGACAGTCTTAAGCTCTTCTTATCCTACTATTTCAAATTCAGGTGTAAGGAATAGGAAAACCCATTTTGGCCTCAAGCCCAACCTGAAATCTCTAATCCAACTTTACCTTTATTAAGGCTGTTATTTTGATCCCATTTGGCTCAGTTCTTAGTGTTTTTATTAACCAACAAACCCTGGAACAAAAGAAGGGTAAGTGATAAGACCCAGATACCAAGCCTCATCTTGAAAATCCAATAACAAACCTAGATCAACAAAAGCAAAGAATCAAATGAGATTCTTTCATGAGTATACATCCAATAATAGGGTACCCCCAAATAGGAAAAAGTTCAAAGAAAATGCAATAAGCTAACCCTCCTCCCTGTATACACAGAGTAATTATGTCCTTTGAATGGACCATGACATGACTACAGTGAAGATGTTAATGTAAGAGGAAGGATATCATCTTTTTATATACATACATATATATATGTCAGGGGAGAATGACTACAGGAAGCTTAAGAACAAAAATTGTTTAGAAAACAGGTTCTTTCTAGAAGTAAGAGTCAGTCATAAACATAAATAACTATAATTTATACTCTATCTGTTCCAAATGGAAAACTAAGGTGACTTATAGTAAGGTAATATACCAAAATCTAAAAAGAAATGAGAAATGACTTAAAGCTATGGGGAAAGAAGAAAGTCCTACTAGAAATCTTTGATACGAGCACCTGGGTGGCTCAGTCAGTTAAGCATCTGCTCCTGGTTTCAGCTCAGGTCATATCTCATGGGCCGTGGGATTGAGCCCCACGTTGGACTCTGAGCTGACAGCACAGAGCCTGCCTGGGATTCTCTCTCCCTCTCTCTCTGCCCCTCCCCCACTCTCTCTCTCTCTCTCAAAATAAATAAATAAACCGAAAAAAATAAAAATCTTTGACAAGGGACATTCAACCTTACACATCACTTTAAGTTATAAATGCTTTCTGAGAAGCGGACAGAAAAAGAAAATGGAGTTTAGTTCTTATGTTCTCCCCCCAACCCCAGTAAATTCTATTTCCTAGCATTGAATCCCCAAGGGATTTGTCACATGGATCCTTATGTAAGGCAAATAAATTAACAGGAAAAAAGATACTCAAATGAAAAAGTAAACAAGATATTTTTCATTAAGCCATGTTTAATAATGAACCTCTAATAAGTACCATGCCTTTTTGTATGACGGTAAATGAGTGCAAATATGTCTTGATATAACTAAAATATAGACACATTATGTATAATTATATTACAGTAATTAGGTATACATTATAGTAATTCTACTTGATTTTGGTATGTAGTTTAGAAAATATGAAGAATGCATGGGTAATGCATTCCTTCAACATTCCCCAATACAAACTGCCTTAGTCTTGATACTGACAAGTACAAATGGTAATTATCTCAGAATTAAGCCATATGGACAAAACTGGAATGCAAATGCTTTCCAGGAATACTGAAATATTAGCAAATTTTATTAAAACATAGATAACTTTCAATTTTGAAAAGCAAAACAGCCTAGCTTGGATTCTTGCTCAGAGAACAACCATCCCATCTATAAAAGAAAGTAAATGATACCGGCTCTGCTATGTGGAGATAAAAATTTCCTCAAAGAGAAAATTTCAATCTCACTCAATACGCTTAGAAGTAACCCAGTAAAAAAGCAGGAAATTCAATAAACTACAGAACAATTATTTCAGCATCTACAGTTCAGAAAGAGAAGTCTGATGTACCAACCACTATGCAAGACGTTTTACATGTTATAACATAGTTAGTTCTCACAAGTTTTGGAATGGTTAATATTAATTCCTGTTTTACAAATGACTTAATTATACTGAACTTCAATAAATTTCTCAAAGTCATATAGATAATAAGTGGCCAAAACAGAATGCAAATTTATGCCTGACTGTAATACCCAAATTTTCCCCAAGGGCAATCAACCACCTCAACCATACTTGGCCACCTCAACCATAAATTAACGTCAATGTACAGCTCTACTAAAGATCTAATTCATGTACTTTTAAGCAATCTTCTAGTAAATTAAATATAAGATATATCCAGAGAACTTAATGTTAGCTTAGAGCTTTGGCATGTTTAATTGCATAATAAAAACTCTGGCACAAATCAATTTTAGCTCCACTTTAGTTGATGTTATTCTTATGGTAATTAATTAGCTGTCCCAGAGGCTTCATAATAATTACAGAAAACCATGTTGTCATTACAAAGAAAGACACTTCTGGAGCACCTAGGTGGCTCAGTTGGCTGAGCGTCCAACACTTGATATTGGCTTGGCTCAGGTCATTATCTTGCAGTCATGAGATCCAGGCCCACATCAGGCTCCACCACTTAGAATTCTCGCTCACCCTCTCTCTGCCCCTCTCCCTTCCCTACTCGCATGCACGCGAGTGGGCACACTTTCTCTCTCTCAAAATAAATAAACATTAAAGAAAAAACATTCCTCCTATTTTCAATGGTACGTCATGCACACACATGTGCACGCATGCGCATGTGTATATATTATATATGTATGTTTGTGTGTATATATATGTACATACACATATATGTATACATACATATATACATATTTTAAGTGGAGTTTAGTCAATTAAACATTTATTTATTTGGAGTTTATAAAGATAATTATACAGCTTAGTTCATATTAACTAAAGGGTGATGATAAAGTCTTATATCATTCTTAACTGACTTTTTAAGTGAGATGAAGCCATTTAAGTGATCAGTACAGAAATGCTAAAATCTATCTGTTCCACATGCAAACTTTTAGAGACTCAACCCTGTAATTTGGTAAGAAAGCTGGGCTGGAATTGTAAAGAAATTATAAAAGGTAAGAATAGTATTTAGTTAAAGAAACAGCATGCATTTTGTAAGATGTGATTAATTGTGAATTCTAAACAGATAATAGAAAAGTTTAGCAGGCATTGGGACTTATTTCTCAAGACATAATTTAAACAATTCTAACTTAGAACCTTAAGATTACTGTTGATGAAAATAAAAAATAAAAATCAGTACGGATATTATAGACAGTTACAGGTGTTCCCCGCATCACACAAAGGTAAGAGTAATGACAAAATGTTTTACATACCTCCAACAAAAAGGTCAATTCCTCCAGCTTCTTTTATTTTTTTTTCAAAAGCATCACATTCTGCTTGTAAATCTGCAGCATTCCCATCAAGGATATGAGCATTATTTGGATCTATATCAATATGCTTAAAAAAGTTATTCCACATATAAGAATGGTAGCTTTCAGGATGATTTCTGGGAAGTCCTAAATTAAAAGTTAATATATAAAAATGTAAGTATTTCTAGGAATAAATCCAAAGTTTGCTTTTCTGATTAAGCCACAGATGCTATTTAAAATATATAACTTTTCTATAACCATATTCAATTTAAAGGCATTTTTATGTGGAATATATGCTCATTATACTCCAGACATTGTATTAACCACCTTACATGTATGTATCAGTTCAAATAATTTGTACAACATCTATGGAAATACTGTTATCATTCCTATTTTATAGATGAACATCAAAAGCACAGAAAAATTAAGTAAACTTTCCCAAGGTCACACAGCTCACAGAGAGGCTGGAATTCAAACACAGAAGTCTAGTTCACATGCATTTAATCACCGTACTTCACTTCTCAAACACAGAAAATTTTACCAATGGAACTGATTTGTGTTAAGCTCCACAGAAATTAATCTGCCATACCTCTGAAATGTTGGTCTATGTTTCTAATCTATTCTTCCTGCATGCATGCAAAGTATACTGAATCCTAACAGTTCTTTGACTATCATTTGGGCTACCATTAAAAATGTATTCTTGTGTTCCCTGTTAAGCAAGTTAACAATGAATCATAAAATCTTCACAGCCATAAATATAAATACATTTATATCTGAAAAATCTTTATTTTACTAATTACTTTTACATACATGGTACTCAATCCATCTCCACAAAACCAGTTTTAACTCTGCCTTAAGGAAAAAACAAAGAGGGGCGGGGGGAGGCAACCCTGGGTGGCTCAGTGGGTTAAGCATCTGACTTCAGCTCAGGTCATGATCTCATGGTTCATGAGTTTCTCATGAGTTTCAGAGATCCCCTGCACTGGGATCTTTGCTGTCAGCACGGAGTCCGCTTTGGATCCTCTGTCCCCCTCTCTCTGCACCTCCCCTGCTTGTACTCTCTCTCATAAATAAATAATAAAATATGAAAAAGAAAAAAAAAAAGAGTAAGAACTGTGAAGGGACTGGCTCAAAGCTGCATGGCTGATGAGTGGCAGAGCCCAAGATGAATATAGATCTTCTGATTTCTAGTCCCATATTCCTTCTGCTATATCATGCTGGCATCACAAAAATAGATTTTTTTAATGTTTTTATTTATTTTTGAGAGAGAGACTGACTGAGCACAAGCAAGGGAGGGGCGGAGAGAGAGGGAGACACAGAATCAGAAGCAGGTTCCAGGCTCTGAGCTGTCAGCACAGAGCCTGACTTCAGGCTCATACTCACGAACCGTGAGATCATGACCCAAGCCGAAGCTGGATGCTTAACCGAATGGGCCACCCAGGCGCCTCCCCCAAAAATATAGATGTTTTTAATATAAACCCCCAACCGCACCAAAAGGCAGTACGTTATCTTCTAGAAATAGTCATATTACATTCAAAACATAGATTCAAATAATGTATTAATTCTCAAACTATATTCTTTTTATTTAACATATTCAAATAATATATTCAAACACAGCTTACCTACATATTCATCCATGTTAAAGGTCTTCACATATTTAAAAGAAAGGTCTCCATTCTTGTGATATTCTATTAGTTTTTTATAACATCCTAATGGTGTACTCCCTAAAACAGATAAAGATTCCATTTTCTAACTTAACATGAAAAATATATTTTTAAAATATTTATATTAACTTTATTCTGTTAATGATATTCTCTATTTCTAATCTACTAGGGAAACCATTATTCATTTAAATACATATTCAATTAACAAATATTTTTTGAATTATACACACATTTGCAAAGTACCTTAAGGCTTAGTAAAGTAGAATTTGCTAAAGAAAACTAGAAATCTGTCAAAAGAAATTATAGTTTGGAAAATGATTCTAGAGTTGTTGAATATTTGGAAATAATGGATACTCCAAGATTAGAAACTTCTAGGAAGCATATGTGAATTAAAAGAAAAATAAACACCCCACCTTTTGAGAAAAAGCTTTTTTAGAGAAGGATTTGTAGCATGAATGATATATAAATAGGTCAAGTTGACCATTTAATGACATCAAAAGGGAAACCAGAGCTAAATTTAAGTATTGCCTCCACTTTCAAAATAGACTCAGAACTTGGCAAGGACTCATTGAGGAACTTTAGCCTTTATGATTTTAACTGGAGGTTCTGTGTCTTATTTTGTGTTATCTTCAGCATGTATTAGCTAAAATGTATAAAGTAAAATGACTTCTGGGAAATGGGATCTTGGCTTTGGATACTTCATCTGAGTCTTGATTTTATTGTTTTATAAATGTGATTCTTTTACAGGTTTTATAAAATTGAAATCAGTTTGATAGTGCTACATGACATGGACAATAAAGAAAAATAAATTAAGCCACTTGAAGACAGCCTCTGTTTTTATTTATTTATTTATTTTTATTTTATTTTTTTTTTTATAATTTTTTTTTCAACGTTTATTTATTTTTGGGACAGAGAGAGACAGAGCATGAACAGGGGAGGGGCAGAGAGAGAGGGAGACACAGAATCGGAAACAGGCTCCAGGCTCTGAGCCATCCGCCCAGAGCCCGACGCGGGGCTTGAACTCACGGACCGCGAGAGCGTGACCTGGCTGAAGTCGGACGCTTAACCGACTGCGCCACCCAGGCGCCCCAACAGCCTCTGTTTTTAAAATTGCTGTATTTTTTCATTTTAACTACAAATTGGAAGGGTAGATTGACTGCATCCTTAACAAGTGACCTGGCCCTCCCAATCCTAGCTGGAGTATCGATTAATTCCTAATCTATTCATCATCATAAAACAAATTATACAAAAAACAAAACAAAACAAAAACCAGCATGCACACAAAATTTCTGCTAAAGTGGCAGACAGAATATGACAGAAGTAATCAGTCTATAACAAAAAAAAAATACAAAGCGAATTCTAGAGTAGTAAAAAGACTGCCTTTCACTTGAGATGAAAGAATAATACAAGTGGCTGCAAACAATACATCGTATAGGTTCAGAGAACAGAAGTCTAAAAGAATTTCTTAAAACTAAAGAAAACATACTGTTTTCAACTCTAATTAATAATTTAATGGTCAAATTTTATAATTCCATCTCTAAGAACTATGGCCCTCTAATATAAAACTTATCTAACAGATGGATAAATTGCTTTTTTTTCTTCCTTTCTAGAAGCATAAACAAATCTGTGTTTGTTTCGGTGTCAGGAGAATAACTATAGGATTCCTTCCTTAATTTAAGAATATATGAATAAAAAAAGTAAGAAGTTGGGGCACCTGGACGGCTCAGTCAGTTGAGTGTCCGACTTCTGTTTAGGTCATGATCTCAGGGTTTTCCGTTTGAGCCCCACCTGGGGCTCTGTGCTGACAGCTCAGAGCCTGGAGCCTGCTTCGGATTCTGTGTCTCCCTCTCTCTCTCTGTCCCTCTCTCACTCAACTCTTCCTCTCTCTCAAAAATAAACAAACATTAAAAAATTTTTTAATAAAAAAAAAAAAAAATGAGAAGCGCCTGGGTGGCTCAGTCAGTTAAGCCTCCGACTTCGGCTCAGGTCATGATCTCGTCGTGGTTTGTGAGTTCGAGTACTGTGTTGGGCTCTGTGCTGAGAGTTCAGAGCCTGGAACCTGCTTCAGATTCTGTGTCTCCCTCTCTCTCTGCTCCTCCCCTGCTCACTCTCTGTCTCTGTCTCTCAATAATAAATAAACATTAAAAAAAACTAAAAAAAAAAAAAGGTCCAAATGGTGATGACAAAAAATAACACATTCACTTTCTAGTTTTTAATCAAAGTGGCTGAAGAAAAAAATAATGAAATATATGGTACATAGTGAACTGGTTAAAGAAACTTCATTTTAGTGCCCACTTTGCAAAATTTACTAACATAATTATTATCAAGTGTTTACTATGATTCAGATAAAACAAAGATTAAAACTGTTTCTATCCTAAAAAAAACTCACAAGGTAAGATTAGGCAAATACAATAACCATAACAAATAAAAATGTTGTAAATAACCTATAAGAAGTTTGCAGAACTGTTGTAAATCAAAGAAGAAAAGATTACAGTTTTGTTTGTTAGAGGAAGGATTAAACAAGATGACATTTCATCAGTCTTGAAGAAGGGGTAGAATTCCAATAGTCAAAGATAGGGTTGAGTTGTAATTGAGAACAGAAAAAAGAGGGAGGAGGTTGAGAGATAACATTTGTATGCTTACCTTATGATAGCTATACTAGTATTTTAAATTTTCTTTTAGTGTTTATTCATTTTTTGAGAGAGGGGCACAGAGCATAAGTGGGAGAAGGGCAGAGAGAGAGAAAGATACAGAATCTGAAGCAAGCTCCAGGTTCTGAGCTGTCAGCACAGAGCCTGACGCGGGGCTCAAACTCACTAACCATGAGATCATGACTTGAGCCTAAGTTGAACGTTTAACTGACTAAGCCACCCAAACACCCCTTAGCTATACTGGTATTTTTACACATCAGCTCATGTAAATCACACAACCTTGGGAAATTGACATGATCTTTCCCATTTTGAGGACTGAAGAATTGGGTCAAAAAGATTAAGGAATTTGCCAAATATCACATGGCAGTGAAGCCAGAGGTTCAAGAGATTCTGTCTGGTTCCAAGGCTCACATAGTTTTCATTACTTAATATACTAGCAACATGAGTGAAAGTAAAGCCAGCAAGTTCAGGTCTATTCTTTGAACTATAAGCAGTCTAATTATCCTATCATGATTCAGAGTAAGAGAATCAGGGAATAAGTTTGAGAGGCAGGAAGCATGCAGGCCCTTACATGTGAAGCTTGTTAAGATCACATCAATAAATACCAAGTAGATATTCCCCAGAAACTGTGCTTTGTGGAGGGAGAATTACAATACTGCTGTCTGCAATTACAGAAATGTATACTCAGGGCTGCCCGGGTGGCTCAGCTGGTCAAGCGTCTGACTTCAGCTTGGGTCACGATCTCATGGTTTGTGAGTTTGAGCCCTGCATCAGTGTCTATTCTAACAATGCAGAGCCTGCTTTGGATTCTCTCTCTCTAGTCTCTCTCTGCCCCTACCCCACTCATACCCTCTCTTTAAAAAAAAAAAAAAGAAAGGAAAAAAAGAAATGTATATTCAAACTTCAAAAGCAAGGAGGAGAAGAGAGCATGATTAACACTGACAATGGTCAATGAAGGAGGAAAGTGAAAAACATCCACAAAGGTTTTCCAAAATACTCCTTGGCAAGTGCACTACTAGGCAGTTAGACTATCTAAAACTAAAGCAAAAGTTGTAGATCTAAACACACAAAAGCATGTTTAGGACTGCTTGCATTTATGACTTTGAAGATTTCCTGCCCCCAAGCTAAAATTACTGTTTAGTTATACATCGTATTTAAAACAGAATAATCAAAGCAACTAGCCTGAGTGTAGCCCTGGTTTGCAGTAAGCAAACAGATACAGAGGCCATATTCAACCACTGGGGCTCATGTATCAAAAATGTGGGTGCTGAGGGGGCCAGTCTGGTGTGTACAATTTTTACAAACCCTCCTTTGCCTGGACCAAAGACAAAAAGCAAAATAACAAATGAATGAGCTAAACAATACCTTTCATGAAAATTATACAAATGGAAAAAATTATGATTGTAGCTTTTATGTAGTTAGCACATATGGGGGAAGGAGCAGAAGGAAAAAAATACTGTTTTAAATAAGACACACTTATGGGAACCTTAAATTCACATAGTATTAAAGTACACAAAGGAGTGGAACGAGCACCACCTTATCTGTGCCTCAAACAGCATTATCAGCTATTAACAGCCTCATCTTTCTTAAAGGTAAGGAAACCAAAGATCAGGGGTGAGGAATATATGCCTTGCAGTAACCAAGAAAGTAGCAGCTCTGATTCCAGGTCCAATACCCTTTGCTGTGGAAGTCAACAATATCAAATTAAGTGAGATCATGAGATTAATAACACTACTTGGTTAATTTTTAAGAAAAACCTTAATAGTGAACTAAATACAATAAAACATGAAATTAATACTTAATGTTTATTGTCATGAAAACATATCAGTCTTCAATTTTTCACTCTTAATACTTCTATAATAAAAAGAAAATACACACAGAAATAGTAAAGGGCTAATAAGACAGTAAGAGTATATGAGGCAGAGAAGATGAAATGAAGAGACAATAGTACATACTTTTGGTACCTCTTAATGATTATTGAAAAGACTAATTCTACTAATTATATGAATAGGAAAAGCAATATCCCTCAAAAACCATACAATACCTAGGAATAAACCTAACCAAAGTGGTAAAAGATCTGTACATTGAAAACTATAGAAAGCTTATAAAAGAAACTGAAAAGGACACAAAGAAATGGAAAAACATTCCATGCTCTTGGATCACAAGAATATTGTTAAAATGTCAAAACTACCCAAAGCAATCTACACATTCAATGCAATCCCTATCAAAGTAAAAACAGCACTCTTCACAGAGCTACAACAAACAATCCTAAAATTTGTATGGAACTACAAAAGACCCTGAATAGCCAAAGTAATTTTGAAAAAGAAAACCAAAGCAGGAAGCATCACAATCCCAGACTTTAACCTGTATTACAAAGCGGTAATCATTAAGACAGTATGGTGCTGGCACAAACACAGACACAGATAAATGGAATAGAACAGAGAGACCAGAAATGGACCCACAAATATACGGCCAACTAATCTTTGACAAAGCAGGAAAGAGTATCCAATGGAAAAAAACAGTGTCTTTAGCAAAAGGTGCTGGGAGAACTGGACAGTGACATGCAGAAGAATGAAGCTGGACCACTTTCTTACACCATATACAAAAATAAATCAAAATGGATGATAGACCTGTGAGACAGGAAACCATCAAACTCCTAGAGGAGAAAACAGGCAAAAACCTCATTCAACATCGGCCACAGCAACTTCTTACTAGACATGTCTCCAGACGCAAGGGGAATACAAGCAAAAATGAACTACTGGGACCTCATTAAGACAAAAAGCTTCTGCACAACAAAGGAAACAATCAGCAAAACCAAAAGGCAACTGACAGAGAGGGAGAAGACATTTGCAAATGACATATCGTATAAAGGATTAGTATCCAAAATCTATAAAGAACTTACCAAACTCAACACCCAAAAAACCAAATAATCCAGTCAAGAAATGGGCAGAAGACATGAGTTGACACTTTGCTAAAGACATCCAGATGGCAAACAGACACATGAAAAGATGCTCAACATTACTTATCATCAGGGAAATACAAATCAAAACCACAGTGAGAAATCATTTCATACCTGTCAGAATGTCTAAAATTAACAACGCAGGAAACAACAGATGTTGGCAAGGAAGTGCAGAAAGGGGAACCCTCTCGCACTGTTGTTGGTGGGAACGCAAACTGGTGCAACCACGGTGGAAAATAGTGTAGAGGTTCCTTAAAAAATTAAAACTAGAACTACCCTAAGGCCCAGCAATTGCACTACTAGGAATTTATCCAAAGGATACAAAAATGCTGACTTGAAGGGGCATATACTCCTCCATGTTTAGAGCGGTGCTATCAACTACAGCCAAATTATGGAAAGAGCCCAAATATCCATCAACTGATGAATGGATACATTGATGGACAAATATCCATCAACTGATGAATGGAATACTACTTGGCGATGAAAACAAATGAAATCTTGCCACATGCAACAATGTGAATGGGTCAGGAGGGTATTATGCTAAATGAAATAAGTCGGTCAGAGAAAGACTCATATGTTTTCACTCATATGTGAAATTTGAGAAACTTCAGAGATGAACATAGGGGAACGGAAGGGAAAATAAGATAAAAACAGAGAGGGAAGCAAACCATAAGAGACCCTTGAAAACAGAGAACTGAGGGTTGATGGGTAACGGGCATTAAGGAGGACACTCTTCAGGATGAGTACTGGGTGTCATATTTAAGAGATCAATCACTACCTGAAGCCAAGACTACATGTACGTACGTATGTTAACTAACTTGAGAATTAAAAAAAAAAAAAAATCCCTAAAAACAAAAGACTACTAGAAAAAGGTACAAAAAATACTATGACCATCACTTAAGTTAGGATATTTCCTTTTGCATTTTGGAGATACAAGTGATGTATAATTTTAATACAAGAAATTTCCTTTTGCATTTTAGAGTGGTAAGTGATATACAATTTTCATACAAGAAACAATAATGAAACATAGATACTAGATAGATATACACATTTCTGGCTGTATACACTAACATGTTCAATCAGTGATATGGCAAGAAATAAAGGGGAAACATATTTTACTAAAGGAAACCCTTCAATCCCATGACCTTCAGTATCTAAAATGGAAAAAATGGTGTATTACCTGTTGGTAAACCCAGTGTAAAATATCTGTCCTGTCCAGGTTTGAACTGAATGATGCGATTACAGATGTATTTGGCTGCCCATTCACTAGCCAAGTCATAGTTATCAAGAATTACGAGCCTCATTATGGTGATGAACAGTTTCCAGGACAAGTAGTTCTAACCTGAGAAAATTCCATTGTAGAACACTTTAAGTAATTTGCAGATATTCAAACAGAAATGTAATATACTAATGACTTTAAGAACATTACTTAAGAAAGACATGCGTGTATATATATATATATATATATGTATATATATATATATATAAATACAATATGTACTTTTAAAATAGCAATAACAGCTGCTCTCTTTTGAACAGACATTGGTTCTGGGCAGTGGGCTAGGTAATTTAAATGCATACAACAATCTTCTAAAGTAAATATTTACAACACCCAGTTTTAGATGAGAAGAAGGGCTCACACAATGTAACTGAGGTCACATAGTTACCAAATGACAAAGAATTCATATCAAGGCAAATTTTAGTCTTTGTAAGATAGCATAGTACACTGTCCTGACAGATATTATATAAAGCAACATGAAACAAACCTAAAGGCAAACAAAGCAGTTCTCGTTTTTTAAAGGCAAGTTAATGTTAATAATGATTACTCAGCAACCTTTAGGTTACTTACTAAAATCCAGAACTTTCTCTGTAAATACCATAATAACCAAACATCTCTGTGTTAAATGTTTTTATAAAAATTATGCCTGCGCTTCTTAAAAATTTCTTTCAATATAGGAAGGTACAAGAGGAAGAAAAAAATCAACCCAAATCCTAACTCAGAAATAAAAAACTATTATCATTACGCATATAACATTCCAGATGTCTATTTAATGCACACATATAAACAGAATGTATAGAAATAATTTTTAATAATGAGATCATAATAGACATGCCATTTCAAAGCATAACATTTCATTCTTTCTGAATTTAAACAAAAGAAAAAGTGAACTAAAACTGCTGATCTCTGAAGAAAAAAAATTCTTCATAAAAAGCAATTTTAGTTCCTTAAAAACAAAAAAGCAATTTTAGTTCCTTAGAGAGTACTCTAAGGTTAAGACAAAATACTGCACAAATATTAAAGATCGAAGTCATTTAAAAACTATGATTCCACTTCAGACAATGTAGACTGACCTACTACCATGAGAGATAGGAAAATTGTACTCTTACACTTCCTCACAACCCCTGATTTCTGTAAAATGTATTATTTTTACATTGACAAGATTTGTAATATTTACACTGTGTTCTATAAACATAGTTTCCAGAATTTAATTCTTAGTTTCATATTTAAACGGATCTGTCACCCACACCAATCCTTTTACAAATGGCTTCAGCAATCCTGAGTTCCCATACTTTCCATACGATAATAAATCAAATTCCTGAAATTAATGGGAATAGTAGGTAATATACAATATACAATTCATATGAAAATACAATTCATATGAATATACAACTCATATACAGTGAATATATGAAATCTGAATGAAATTCTTGAGAACAAAATAATTCAGAATTCTGGAATAGTAACAAGAAATTATGATCACTATGGTATAGAATTCTGGCACAGTAACAAAAGACAAATAGCATTTACAGACAATAATGTACATAGTAAGTCATAAATTCACTTCAACAAATGGACTCTGCCTGTATTTAAATTCACTAATGATCTAATGCTAGAAACAATTTCAAAGTTACACCAAGAATCAGAAATATTTTCTGGCCATAAAGAGGTATACTTACTTCTAACAAGTATGACCATCAAGAGATACACTTACTTCTAATAATATTCAGCATACTCATTATTCATAAAAAGGAAAAAAAAAACTGTAAGGTACGGAGGGAGGGCATTAGAGCTTTCTAAGTGTTTTCTGTCTTCTGGGAATACGATCTCTTTTTCTCAGTTCAACATACTTGTGAGGGCCTATTAAATGCCAACCACCAAGTTCTGTAGTCACAAAAATGATTAAGATATGGGCCCTATTATTAAAGGGCTTGGATCACTGAATAGTCTCTGAGATAGAAATTATCATCCTCTTTTCTCAGATACAGAAAACTGCAACTCAGAAATTTATTGCTTAAGTTATAAAGCTATTAATGGTAGAGGGTCTTTCTGACGGAAAGATCCATGCTCCAGATGCGCTACGTAAGAATCACTTAGGATGCTCCTTAAAGATCTAGTTTTCCCAGGCTCCTCTCCCTGGACACAGTGTTTCAACAGATGTGAAATGCGATCAAGGGAATCTGCACTTTTAGAAATCTCACAGGTTGATTATTAAAATCAGGCTAAATTTCAAAAAAAATACCACAGGAATCGACCTCATTAAAAGAAGTTCTTAAGTCTCTTAGATCGGGTACAGGCAAGTTTTGTTTGTTTTAAATTCCTCAGACAGCTCCGAGTTCATTACAAAAGTCTCAAATAAAACCTCCCAAGCAGAGGAAATCAGAATGTTTTTGCCACATTAATGCAGATTAAAAAATGTGTTTTTGCCAGTTTTTGACAATCCTCATCAATCCAAACTGCTGTGGCTCTGGGCAATTCTCCGACATCAAATCCAGATAACACGCAAAAAATGACAAGGCACCCCCCCTCCATTCCCTCATTTTCCTCTGGTGCTGATTCATTCTTAATGTGCATTAACTTGGAGACTGGGCAGCTGAATACAAATCTCAGAACTTCAGAGCTGGATGGGAACTTCCACACGACTTAGGCTGCAGTTAGTCTAGAATCTACACTAGCATCTAAATTTACAAAATCCCTGCTCTGTGCTTGTTTCCTACAACCTGACCTGAAAAGGTCGCTGAAGTGCAGGACGCGGAAGCCGCATCCCTGATGGGGGAGAAGCAGCGGAGAAGGCTGAGGTCCCTGCCCGGAAGGCCAGGGCTGCAAACCCACCTCAACTGCATGGCTGCTGGGCCCTATCTGTCCGCAAACTATAAGGAATACAAATGAGGATGGCTGTTACTGATTTTTAACAAGTGTCAGGAGAAAGCCGCCAGAGAAACAAAGATAGGAAGCCCCTCCCGGAGGCCCAATTTCGGAGTGCACCAACAGCCTCGGCCCACCCTCCGCCCCGCCTCAACGCTCCCGGGACCCCAATCAGCCGGGCCGCGCGTCCCCGTCTCGGCACAAATCCTACTCGTGGGAGCAACGAGC